GTATGTCCTACCGTCTCCCCAATGCAAACAATACTGTCCAGTTTTCCATTACACCCTCGAGCCCTGCCAAGGAACAGCTACCTGGGGAAATTCAGGTGAGCCAAAATAGCTTTAGCAGGGAGCCCTGCTAGGTCGTGATTCACCTGTATTGACTCAACCCATTAGGCGGAGCGGCGAGAGACACAACGTCAAATTTTTGACATCTGCGATACCAATTCGAGTTTTTCAACCGCGGGGACCGCAACTACGCAAGGTCAGATGGAGGCCAGTCAGGTTTCGGATCCTCCCCCAGCTTATGTTTTGGTACAATCGCAGGAGCGATAACTGTACCTACTACAGAAAAGCGCGTCGACTATACTTATATGATTACGCAATGGAGTATGCGCCGGGAGCCCCAATCTACTCGCGATAGAAACATGATCATTTGAATGTCGCCGTTCCTGATCAGAGTTCCGGGGTTATTTCCGTTTTTAGATTGTCGCTCATTTGATGAGTAGAGAGAGAGATGGTAGTCAGATAAGATGGGGCACAGACGCCCAGAAGGTTGCCAGGAGGTTTGGATCGAGACTCATGCCGCTGGGCACCCCAGAAAAGAATCGGTCGCAGGGAAACCGAAACACGCAGATTTGAGATGTCTCGAGACATCAAGAACAATTGAAGGGGGTCAAGCGAGGAAACGGAACAAATTGCTTAATGGGTACGGCATAGATCTTACGAATCTAAGGCACAATCCCCATCCGAACCTCAACCTGCTCGTCGACTCTCGGACGCCTTTGTTTGAGTCTATGATGGCGCCTCTAAGCGGAAGCTGTTGCCGTCGGAGAAGCTGTAGTGCAAGCAAAAACGACCGAAGCTCTTGCCTCCTCCTTGGAGGCGAGTAAAACATATCATCGATTCACACTACACGGGCCGTAAGTTCGTTGCGTTTAGACCAGAACGTACAAGAGCATTGTATCTCCCGCTGCGATTGCATTGAACAACGACTTGACTTCAAACAAGGCTGGTCTTCCAGGCGAATTGCTGGCATGATAGCTGATCTATCTGTGAACTGTCTTCATAACCCTTCGCTGCAGCATATCTCAGTACTCAAGGAGCACCTATTTCAAAGCCGCTAGAGTTTTTTATTTTTCTCCCGCTGTTTTTTTGAACATCACTGTACCTTCAGGCAGTGAGTCAAGAGATTGATATCAAAACTCTGCCTGAACGTCCGATCCAAAGCCTCGTGGGACCCTGAGAGTTATATACTCACCATGATGGTCATAAATCACACGTCTTCCAGGCATTCTTTCAGCACCCTTCCCTTTCCCGCTTCTACATTATGACTCACAGCAAAGGGCTGTTGCCGCCGGTCTGCTATCCCATTTGCTGTCGTCCCCAAAAACATATCATCAAAATCGCTGGTCGCCTTCTAATACCCCTCCTCCTGCCTTTTGTAACCGCATTTGAAGTGAAAACACCTCTTCCGAGTACGGTAACGCTTTCCCAGCCTTTCACCTTCACTTGGATGCGGGGTGGATCGGACTTGGCCTTTGCCTACTTACAGTTTGGCGCGTTTTATCCTACTACTTCACTGATAGGCGAGCCTTTCAACGCTGGTGCGAGTGTTCAAGGTGAGGTCACGATGACTCCCAAACTTCCAGGGTGAGGATAAACATGCACTTGTTTTTGCGGTTTTTCTTATCATTGGTTGATTACCAGGGAGTTTGAGCTCAGAGGACGCACTGGATTTTCGATCCATGGAGCGTGCGTGTTTAGGTCAAGTTTTTTCGATGACTATTTATGACTCTTTTCTCCAGGTTGATTGAGAACATCACTTCGCTTCCACAAATTGTTTTTGTTCAAGCAATTACAACATCTTCCCCAATCCCCTCTCCTCTGCATAATACATTGGGATTTTCTGGGTCTGCGTCTAGGCCTTCAATCTCACTACCTAGGACTTCAGCGCCACTATCGAGTGCTTCAGGATCAACAACAAGACCTTTGTGGAATATGTTAAACCCTGTGACTACCTTCCAGTTGCAGCCTACATTTTCCCAATCTCAAACTTCTTTCACGGCCTCTGCGACGAGGTAAAGTTTGCTCTGTAGTAGCGCGCTGAATCATCGCAACTTACCGATACTTCTTATCAGCTCCGGTATCACCTTCATAGGGGACCAGTCAAAATCTAACACGCCTGTTATCATAGGGAGTGTGATCGGGGGTATTGGCAGCTTCATGATTACATGCCTAATAATCTTGTTGTGGAGAAGAAAGAGTACGTCTCAATCACCCGGCAGTTTGTGCGGTCGAGTCTTAACATGAACTATCTACCTCCCTTCTTCCAATAGAAATCGCTACTGGCGCGGCAGCGCGGTCTCTAAACCCGACACAGAAGTCCGATCCCCTCCTGAATCATGGTCACCTTTCATCGCCTCACTTGAAAGAAACTCCTCTAATTACGCTTGCGGCTCTGGAACGGGGAGAAAGAGAGAGCGAGTCAGGCAGAATTATTGATCTCGAGTCCATACAGAATCGGTCGGGACAGCAAGTAATTCACCTTCGATCTTCACAAACCTCATTACGTCGCCAGCCGGCACTTTCCCCACGGTTACCCCCTCCGATGTATGCCAGTCATTGCTCGGTTACTTCTGAGGAGGTGCCTGCGAAACTCCGGGCGCAATCGGAGGACATGCTGCAGAGATCAGCAAGGTTGGATGTGGATATGGCACCACCATCCTATGTCCCTTCTAGCACGTATCAGAGGCGGGAACAATCAACGCAAGTACATTCCACTGATTGATATCAAGGGACAATTCCAGACTTCAGATTGCCACATGGAAGACCGTCCAGAGTTTAATACACTGACAGCACTCATTCCCTCGCCCTCAGACCAGATGAGATCTCTGTTTGAATCAGCCACGCATTGATGAACATTCCCATCATTATGGGATGTTTGGGGTATGAAATTAGAATACAACAGCATGGCTGTTCTATCTTCATACTTGTTAGGAAATATGTTTATCTAATGCTAAGCAATGGTGGCATCTATGTGAAAAACACAGGGCATGCTAAATTCACGTACCGTGTTGCGTACAGTCGCACTGTCTGAGTTCTTTCTCATTTCCTTGCCAAGAACCCGTATTGAAGGCTTTACAATCACTATCAGGCCCGTGCCTGATGTGGATGAGCATTCTGATCCTTCATCGAGAAAATTTATGAAGCATGCAGCTCGATCAGATCATCAATGGGGCTCTGTCGACTCTGATAAATTTCTTGATTATCTTCCCGAGTGGAATGAGACAACCAGGATACAATGATACAGCTTGTTCGAGACTTTGCGAATAGAAACGACATCACCTCAGTAACCTCAAGCTCAATGATACCCACAAGAGTTGGGTTTCGCTACGACACTTCGTTTTCTCAGGGTTGGTGAGTAGATTATTTGATTGGTGTATAAGAGCCCATCCTCTCTACCAACCTTCCATCCTTTATCAAGATATAGTAAGGCGGAGTGTCGAATCATCCAAACAGAAGCATGAATGATTGATATCAATGGTTTCTTATGCACTACTGTCAAATGATGCAATAATCATGGAAGATGGCTTCGGATTTGTTTGATTCTGTATTGGAATATTGCAGATTGAACGAGGGGTTGGGTCAAAATAGCTGATAGGCGGGACTTGCAACTCAGCCTGCCACTTACTTGGTATTGAGACAACTCCGACCAGGCTTCAGCACACCTACTATTTCGAGCATTATACCCCAGTTCTAGCGTATCGGGACAGTTTTCCAATTTCGGTGAGAGTACGAGAGGTACTGATACCACGAGCCCGACGGTTTTCGGGTAGGTATTCCTTGCCTTCACCTCTACTATTTTTTTGAATAATGGTACTCGTAATAGCAAGTTTGATCTAGACAGAGGCTTTTCAAAATGAGACGATGCATTGTCAATCATACACGAGATCTTTTCACAAGTAGTCCAGGCTCCTCAAGGATACGAAGGATCATCACCGACAACGCAAACGCAACGACCGCCATCATCGTTACCCATGTAAGATCATTCTATCTCGAGGTATGAGAGTGCGGTAGTCACTAATTGCGATCCAGACCCGGTAGCGAAGCTCCAATTTCGAGCAGCAATCCAAGCAGAGATTCGTGAAGGCCCCGCACTGCGACAAAAGTTGTAGGCGGTGTCATCGGGACTCTAGCAATGACTATCGTCGTTGTTGTTACACTTTTCTTGTGTATTCGCAGAAGAAAACAAGGTGTGTACATTACAGTTGTGTTTTGATCAGCCGATTTTCTGACATTTACGGATGTCCCAACTCCGACTTGACAGGGCACCATCCCCGTCCAGACATCCTAGCACGACTCCTATCACCCTCGGATTATCCAAATGCAAGCCAAAAGTCGAGGTTTTTCACCGTTAGGCAATCTGTATCACCGCCTAGAAGCCAGGAATTGAACGAATCACTACGTTTGCCATCATCCCAGCCACTGACAACGACATTCCGAGATGCCGGGTCTATGAAACTATTTTTCAGTCAAACACGAGCACTGAGCGATCATTTTGTGCGACCTCATTCAATCTGATGCTCACGCACACTCTTCTCAGGGCCCAAATGACCCACATGAGTGTACAAGAAGGGATATTATAAGTATATCTACATACTGCCGCAGTGTACACCGGCATAGACTGTGGAAGTAGCCACTGGTACGACCAAGTGGCAGGCCGGCTGTATTATGTACAGGAAAATAGCAGAATGGTGGACTTCTGCCACCCCGTCACGTCACAAAAATTGGGGGGAATACCCACCTCCTGGGCATACCCCGCCATGAGCGCGTGAATACCCGATGGTGAGGCTTGGGGGAGGCGGGGGATACCCAGACTACACTAGCTGGGTATACCCGGCCGGGGTATAAGTCGCTGTAGGAACCCCTCATAGGCCTGTCTTTCTCACCAGAGAGATAGGCCTAAGAGGGGTCAGAAGTGTATGCCTGAGGTGACCTGTGGTCAACGTTGAGGATACCGCGGATTAAACGCGGTACCTTTAGAATAGCATTGATGAGATTTATGGGTACCTCAGTCTGCTGCTCTCCCAACTGAGCTAGGTCCCCCTGCAGTACTCAGGTGATTGATTATTGAGGTCTTTTAATGCTGATCAGGAGCATTGAAGGTCCACTTCAAAGGGAGAATAACTCCAAGTAACTGGCCTAGATCCGACGCTCGGGCAACAGCCGCTCGGAGGGTGCTATATCCCATTTACCGCCCGTCTTGACCGTTTTTCCTCTCGTCAAACTCGGTTCCTTGTTTGGAAAGCCACGACAACGAATTCACTCATCATCAATTAGACTGCTTGGGTCCCAAATGCTATGTTGCATCAACAGAACTCAAACTAACTGCAGGGTTGTCAGCGGTAGGTGTGGTGTCCTGACGGTTTACGATGAGTCTTACAGGTTCGGAGAGGCTGGTCCTCTCTCGATCCATTTTAGTTGGAGTGTCCTGTAGGAATACAAGAGATTCGAGGATCCAATTCCCATTGGATCTCCACATGATAGAATGTTTCGTGGGTAGCGTGAACGCCGCTTTGGCAGTTTCGATCGGGCGATTAGAAGACGACACGGTACAGAGAATGGCAAGGTTGAGAACGATGATGGTACCGCCGACCATCTGCTCCTAGCATACATCATCGACGAGAGACGCAATGGTCGACTTAAGTAGAGATATCAACGGATGGAAGACCTGTGTTGGCGATGTCACTCGAAACTCAATTCGACTAACTTGAGGGCAGGCCAAGACTCGTAACAAGCCACGTTGCGAAGCCCCCAGTTGCACACAATCATTACTTTTGTACTTGCTCTCACTTTCCCTTGCTGAGACCTCACTCCACTGGTCCGCGTTCCGATGAACGTCATCTAGCACTACTAAGGAACTATCAAAAGTCCGAGAGGTAGAAGTGGATATAGCAACACGGATTCTCTACGATCATGTTCGTCAAGAAAACCGTCTCTACGAAAGGTGATGGACACACCGTCGATACAAAGTCACTGCCTACGGTACCTGAGTCTCGTTTTCATCATCCCATCGAAATCAAAGATCAAATTACTTCCATGCCACTACTATAAGAGCCTCTACTCACGAGTTTGTCTTCTGTCTCAAGTTATTGTCAAAAAACTTACCGGAGCGTACGAGAATCGCTTACATCGATCGCCCAACACTCATACTAACTTATTACTCGCGGAATACGCGGCCTTGCAAACCTCTGCTCAACATTCTGATCATCTTCTCGAAAGGGGTGTTACGATCATTTAGTCAGCTGAAGGCTCGTAGGAAGATAGAAACGGTAGCACCCCGGTAGCTAGAAGGAAACCATCTTGGCTACGATGGTCGAACATTGACTTTGACATTTATATCCGATATTCCCATATCTTCTTGAGTGTCGGCCCCCTTAACCTCCTCATTCTCTTCTATTTCAGAGGCAGTATGGTCTTCAAGGGAAAAAACTCTCTGTGCGTAATTAACGTACCCGGCCTACGAAGAACCTGACGGAACTTTCTTTCGCTAGAGTATGGCTTTCAATCATCATCTTATGGCTCCTGCGAGCGGAATCTTTTGAAGTAGAGACACCCCTCCCGGATATTATCACTCTCTCCCAACCTTTTACCTTCACGTGGCGTCGAGACCAGTCCGACCTACTCTCAGTATCAGCATACATTCAATTTGCAACAACATACTCCGGAACGACTGCTACGGGAAGCGTGATCAGGGTCGGTGAGAGCAAGAGTGGTACGTATACTATGACCCCAAGGGAACCTGGGTGAGTGTTCGTTGCCTTGTCCTTGATCAGTTCCTCATATTAACGTTCACAAAAGCGCGCTCACAATAGATGGGTGGAGTGGGTATTCGCCGAATCTTGACGAAGAGTAAGTTATCGAAGCCGTTATCTCTTTGGTCCCAACTTATTGCTCGCTCTCAGTTCACGCGATAGATACTTCAGGATCCTCCCACACACTTTCTTGGTAGGGACACTCCAGATGTCCGAATCATCCCCGACACAGAGCGAAACCTCTCTTTCAACAGCAACACAAACGCAAGAGCCGCCAGTACAAACACCCACTGAAGGTGAGAGTAGAGGCGGCAGAACTTCTTCATCAGAACAGACCTCCCCTCCGTCTTCTGTATTCACGTAAGATTAATTTTTCACCGGAATATTCTATATATAATACTAACAACGATCTAGATCTGGAAGTGAGGCCCCTCCGGTTTCGACTGGCGGCTTACCTGCAGAATCCAAGAGCTCCAATCGCACTGGAGCAATCACAGGTGGTGTGGTCGGGGCTCTATCAGCCATCACCATCATCGTGGCTATGTTCTTCTATATCCGGAGAAGGAAACAACTTGGTATGAAACATCGCGGTCAAATCCTGAGTAGCAGTTCCTTCTGACATTGTGGGATGTTTTGACTTTACAGGGAAACAACACCGTCAAGACGCTGCAGCACGACCTCTATCGCCCGTGAATTATCTAAGTACAACCCAGAGGTTGAGGCATTTCGGTGCTGAGGAGCTCACGTCAATGCCTGGAGATCAGAAGCTGGATAATTCGCCGAACCGCGATGTCGACCCCGACGAAGAGTTGCCACAGCTCAAAGCACGGCTACAAGAGATGGCGCAGAGAGTTGCGAGGCTGGAAGCCGAAATCGAGATGTCACCGCCAACATATGCTTCCGAGGGTACCGGCACGAACGGCAGAGAAACTCAGTGACCAGGTGAGCTAGTTTTCTAGTTCTGTTCGCACGTGCTGAAGAATAATTGGCTGAACTTTTGACGAGTCTTCTTAATAGTCGTATATACTTACACACAAAACAGTAAGCCCTGCCCGTTATTTTTCTCCATGTTTATTATCAGTTATACTCCTAGCCACACCATGACCTATAGCTTTGGAGCCACTCTATGCACATGTACATTTGATTGTATTGAAAAAAGAATGATTGGGAATCGATGCGTAGTGACGCCACCCAATGTTGTGAGAGGTTGGGACAAGGATCCGGGCCTATAACACATCCAAGTAGTCTCGCTTACATTCCCTCTCAAAGTAAAAACTAACATTGTCAGTGCCTCCTTTTGGGGATACCGCGGATTGAACGCGGGTCATTCAGAACAGTATTACTGGCGCTCAAACTTCAATACTTCAGTCTACTGCTCTCCCAACTGAGCTATATCCCCTGTTGTCACTCGATGGAGACTGATTGCTCTGTATCCTGTCTCTAAATTGCATAATGACTGAGATTATCCGATAGTAGAACGAGAGTCGAGTGAGGGAACTTTAGGAGGCGCGTTGACCTGAGGAAGGACCCTGTTTGGACCCTGCATTGCCGGACGCTCAGATCCGGATCCGGCCAACCGCCGCCGGAAGGTGCCAAATCGCTTGCCAAGCCCACTGAGTATTAAAAAGGTCCAGCAACAAATTCTGCCCATACCAGTCTATGCCCTCAATCGTAATCAGGTAAGTACCATGATACAAGAGCAAGAGAACGAACTCCCGGTATGTCATTGTCACATTCACATCGGCGGTAGCTGATTGGTTCCTGGGACCTGAACATGTGACAGAAATAGAATTGACGTCGCATCGTTGACAACAAGAAGCGCTCACAACTTGCTCTCTTACCGTCACCATCAAATTGGGTTGGGTCCTTGGAATGCTCAGAGGTCGACAAAGACATGTCGCTATATTGTTTGTGATAATTTTGGTGCGTCGTAGGCAGTCTATTCATGTCCATTGAGCCGCTCATGCCAAACCAAACGATCCTAAGACCGTTCTTACGGTTGTATTCTACACGACAAATTCTCTATGGAAGGACTACCTCTCCTTCCTCCCTGCTCAGGACCAAAACCACAGAGATGAAGCCCCAAATCTCATCGGCAACGGCAAACCAGAACCATCCCCTGAACGAGACCCACGGCCAATACGTCCCTATGTCCGACCCCCACGACCACCCGCCGCTCAAAACGGCTCTGCCACAAACCACACTCGACTCGTGCCTACAGGAGAGGGCAAAGAGAACGCTACCCTTCTCATACTAGCCCGAAACTCGGATATAGATGGCGTATTGTCGAGTATGGAACAGCTGGAGGGGAGGTTTAATAAGCGGTTTGGGTATCCTTGGGTACTTTTGAATGAGGTCGAGTTTGACGAGGAATTCAAAACGTACGCATGCGCAATGGACGTTGGTCGGTTTTAGTTGATGTAACTCGTGTTTTAGGCGCGTCAGGGAAGCAACATCGGCCCCTATCGAGTTCGGCGTAATACCATACGATGATTGGTACCCACCAGAATGGATAAACGAGGAGAAAGCCATGGAGGGGAGAATAAAGCTGCAGGATCAGGGGATTATATATGCTGGTGTGTTCTTTACCATTCTTTGTGCTTCTCAGATCTGCTCAGACGTTACATTTCTGGGTTCTAGACAGTGTGCCGTACAGAAACATGTGTCGTTTCAACTCTGGTGTGCGTGTCACTTCCAGACTCAAGCTTCAGGAAAGCTCACTTTTGTACCCCGAACAGTTCTTCTTCCGACATCCACTAATGCAGCCATACAAGTACTATTGGCGTGTTGAGTACGTCGTTGGTAGTCGACCGGTTCTTCATCTAACTCTCGCTGTTATCACTTCATAGGCCGGGTATCTCGTATACGTGCGATATCACCTACGATCCATTCGAGTATATGAGAGCCCACGACAAGATATACGGTCCGTCTTCTGTCCGGTATATCCAAACATTCGACCGTTTCATACTAGTACCTCGGCTCCGTTTGTAGGCTTCACAATAACCTTTCACGAATGGCAACCGACCGTACCGACGCTCTGGGATGCTGTTAAAGGCGCGTACGCTTTGTCGTTGATCCGTTCAATCTCACCAACCTCACGATAACAGAATTTACGACAAGTAACCCGTCCTACCTCGCCCCGAACAACGCCATGAGTCTCGTGAGCGACAATAAGGGCGATTCGTTCAACTTCTGTCATTGTGAGTACTCCCCCCATTTTCCATCTCCTCCTTGTAGTATAAATGAACAAGTTGCATAGTTTGGAGCAACTTCGAAATTGCCGATCTCGACTTTTATAGGAGTAAGCCCTACCTCGAGTTTTTCGAGTTCTTAGATCGCAAGGGCGGGTTTTATTACGAGGTCTGTCTATCTCTCGCACCAACCCACCGCTCCCTTCCGAATACTGACACCGATCTAACTCGATAGCGCTGGGGAGACGCCCCGATCCACTCCATTGCCCTAGCTCTCTTCGCTAATCGAAACAAGCTCCATTTCTTTGACGACTTTGGGTATAAACACCCACCGTTTGAGTATTGCCCTACGGGAGAGGTGAGGATGGGGAGGAATTGCGAATGTGGGCCTGCGTTTAGTATATGTGAGTGCCGCATTTGGGTCAAAGGGAAACGGACGTGCGTACTGACCCTATGGACAGATACCTTCGAGTATATGTGCTTGGGGCGGTGGCAGAATCTGTGGTAGCGACATTCATCGTTATGCGTTGTTTTTCTCGTGGTGGATTGCTGGTGTTTTGGGTGTATGTAACAGTACTGAGATATTCGGCGTTACTAAATCTTTGGGAATCGTGTCTTGGCCATGGCGAGCAAGCTTGCACGACTGGGGAAGAATTAGACCGAACGTGAACAAATGGACCCACCTTGATACATACAACGGTTTGTGTTTTGCTCGCTTGGAAGATCCACGGTTTGTACTGACACCTAGGGGGGTTCTAGGAATATATACTTGGTAGGCGATGGTTCTCATAACCAGTATTCGGACGTGAGCTCGCCTAGAGTCTAAAGCTGGGAAGTCAGAATAATCGGAAGACCGTAGCTTCCCCCTACGACTTTTTGGTGGTACATTCAGGTCATACGTTGGTCTCACCTGTCTCGAGCCTGGTTGACATGTACTTAGTCGCTCTCGGTCTCAGCGTACATCGAGTTGGTCTCCAGCGAACCTATGCCGGCGATAGCTCACTGCAGAGCATGAGCTTTGAAAGCTGGGGATGTTGAGATGTATACCAAAGAGTTGAAAGATAAAGACGGCCTTCCAAGTCTGATCTCGAAGTCATTGGATGCCTTTGCCAGTGATCCCAAAGATGTATCACTTGCTAAGTACCAGATCTTCTCGTCCGTGACTCCTTGGCTCAGAAGATATATAGATGGTTCATTCAGATTTTTAGTGCTCATGGAGGTAATCCTCGCGAGGTGACGGAAGCTTCTCTTGAGCCAGAGGGTACGATCGCCTCCAGGCTCTCGTCAATGGTCGCAGTGGGACTCTCTCTTAGTGTAGCATTAGCAGAATATTTTGTTGGGCTTACAACAAGCCTACGCATAAGTTATCAAGTAGTAGGTCAATTTTACACCAGAACTCCTGGAAAACCAAGGTCTTTCAAGCCTCCCTCAGACTCCCGCTCGGCGTACCCGCATCAGACGCATATGTCGGCGGTGCCGTCGACTCAATCTCAGCTTCCAATCTTGCAACCCTCTGTGCCATCTCTTGAAAACGTGCCCTGAAATGAGGGGGGATTTCCTCCTGGCCGCTGTGATCGGGCTGGTCGACTGACGGTGACTCGTCCAAACACTGAACGAGCTCATCCATTCGTGCCTTATGGTCTGTCTCTTCTTGAGACAGAGGTGCGGCAGACCGGCTGGAACTCATCAATCGTGATTTCTGTGTGATGTTTGGGTAGTCCGAGGGCGATAAAGGTCGAACGATGCTGTCGATTCGACTTCGGCGTTTTCCTGTCGATTGGTCGAACACGTCAAGTTTGATAAAGTCACGCATATTTAGAATACCACGCGGACGTACTTTGTTTTCCCCTCCGGAGACACAGAAATAGAGCGACGAGAATTGAAATAGCCACTATAGCCGCAATCACACCGCCGACAATAGCTCCGGTGTGATTAGAGTTTGTAGGGTCTGATCCTGGACCATCAGTTGAGGTTGGTGGTACTGGCGCTCCGTCCGTCCCAGTCCCAAATCTTCCGATCACGCTTAAGCAAACAAGTCCAAGTACGATATACGAAGCATAACCTACCCAGTGCCAGAAGGAACCCATGGAGGATCGACCCCAGATGTGGGATTTGCAGGGTCTGAAGGAGACGATTCCTGCGATCCGGCGCCGGTACCGGCGCCTTGTCCACTCATTCCGAACTCTTGAGCCGCTGCCGTGTGAGAAATGGATAGAGTAGGGTCGCCCGATCTGATAGGTGTGCTGTGGGTCGCCCAGGTTTGTACGCTTTGATTTCTCGCGAGAGAGCATACGTACCTAGCTGTGGAAGGAGACGAAGAGGTAGGCTGGAGACCTGCTGGCGGCGAGGTGGAGGTATCTATATTGCCATTCTTGGCACCATCTGTGTTCGTAGGTGCACTTGCTCCCGTCGTTTGAGTCTGAGTTTGAGTCCGTGCTTCTGCCGCGCCCGTCGTTTCTGTTTTTGTCGGAGTCAAAGGCGTTGTCTGTGTCGGCATTGGATGGGTTGGGTAAGCCACAGGTCCATTTGCTGCCTGCACAAAAATTTTGTGGGGGAGGAAGAAGACATTCTCCTGTAATCTGGGGAGTCATGAGTCCTCAATCCATACAAAGCAAATGTAGTTCACTTACTCAGCTGAATCTGATGAGTACCCAGTTCGCCCGCGTAGATCAAACTCGCTATGAGGGCATTGAGTAGAAGAATTCAATTGATTCGAGGGCTAGCAGAGGAGCGCTCACCCAGCTACAGTAGGGGTCATGGTATATGCACCTCTCGTGCTCTCTCCGGCATTGAATATTTGTCCAGTCACAGAACTACCCGGGTAGAACGCTCCAAACTGGAGGTATGCCGAGGGCTGATCTGAAGTATCTCGACACCAAGTAAAGATAAACGGTTGGGAAAGAGTGACCGTGTCCGGAAGGGGCGTCTCCACTTCGAATGACGCTACTTGGCGTAGCCATACGGAGCACGAGAGTATCAACCTGGTGAAGGAAGGTCCCGTCAGATAACCGGTGAAGGTCAATAGCTTCTAACTACTCACAGAGAGCGCTTTCCGTTGGGGTTCATGATACGTTCGAGGCGAGCGGTTCGTGGGTATCTTCAGTGTTTGAACCACCCGGGGGACCATGAATCGCGACAAGATTTATAGGGAGAACAATTCTGAACCCGAATGAGCACTCCCGATCATCGTACCGTCAGGACGCCGTAT